AGTGCTGCAGCACTCCACATAGCACAGTTTGTACTCCCATGTCTTAATTATATGCATGCTCACCTTCATTTCTCCTTGGAATAAAAGTTTTACTTTTGAGTTGGGTTCTCATCATCATCTTTGACCTTTCCCCAGCATTATTTATCTATCCATTTTATGGACAAGCTACTCAGACCTCCTGGTTTCATTTTATCCTGGTTCATCCTAGTCTAGCTCTTCTTGATTCCTTGAATTAAAACTCCCACCAAAGCCTCCCTAACTCAATGCCTTATTCTTCCCCCCACTGCAAATGCCATTTTTTAAATCTGGCTTTAAGATCCATCATGTAGCCTGAGACCCACATTCTTTCAGTCCTACAGATTGCATCCTGGGAACACCATTACCTATCTGCCAGTGTCAGGCTCCCAGAGAGGCTCCCAGTCTCTCTCCTCCATAACCTTCTTTATCAGTACTTGCCAGCAATCAGATGCTCCCATCTTTCCTGGGTGCTCTTCCATCCTTTTTCTTGTATGACCCTAGACACTGACACTTGTGTTAACCACATAATTGCTTTTACCCCCAGTGGCTGTCTTTATGTCCTTATGGGTGCATCAGTCTTCTCTTCCACCTCCTCTCCCCCACTTTTCCGTCTAGGAATTTTACAGGGTCTTTGCAATTGGCTGTGGTTCAGACCTTTCCCATTGATATACTGTTTGATCCTTAAGTCTTGGTCATATTGGTGGTTTCGGATGCCAGTCAAGGAAAAATTACCAGATGACACCCTTCATTACAGTGTTTCTTAGCCACATTCTTCTCTCCATCTTTGGTTGCAATCTAGCATAACACACATTTCTCTACTGCAGATTCAACTCTGTCACTTTTCCCTAGCACTCTTCATCTGGCCCTCTATAATGCCCTTCCCTACACAGCCTTTGTGCTCACTGTCCTTCCACGCCCAATGCTACTCACTTTTTCCTTCCTCAGATTCTAACCTGTCTTGTCTGTAATACTTTCATACAAGGCTGCATAGGGATCATGTCACTCACTGTCAGCCAGGGTCCACGGAGCCTGTCAGCAGTGTCAGTGCCACACCATGCAATAGCTGCAGTGTCTTCACTACGAGATGTGCTGCTATCCACTTCCACCCCACTGTGGTCATCATGGAGGCACAAGTCTTTAGATGTATTTGCCTCCTCATAATCTTCACTCACTCTCCATGTTACAACAGTGACCTAGTCTCAGGACAAGCTACCTGCCCACACTGTCCACTAAGCAATCCTAATACCTCCATAAAGTTGTCAGCTGTCACTTTTTATCAGCAATCTGGTGTTTTCATCCTTATAAATTTTCCCTTCCTTAACAACCAGATCCTACAATTCCCCTCCCACACTTCCTGTTCAGTCCTTCCTCCTTGTGCTGTTCACTATGGTCTCTATGCCCAAATGTGGCCAATTGTACAGTGCACATCTGTACACTGGGCTCTGCCAGGGCTTACCATCTGAACCCTATTCTACACTGTTTCTGCTTGTTGGCCTTCTACATGTGTTTCCTTCTCTTTGCTTCCAGTGTAACCTTTCATTTTCATTCCCTCCTGATTTGGGGTCCAAGAATACAGTGTTAACCCTCATTTGATACCTATCCTTCCTTAATGCTGGCTCTTTTATATCTGAGGTTAACTTTAATGTTGATATTCTCTGTGTCAGCATCCCTTCTGCTCTGTGTGCAGCATTCCCATGAATTAAGCGCTGCTCGGTAAACAACCACTTTTTTTTTTTTTTTTTACGTTCCCTGCCTAACACACTTTTCATGCTCCTTAGTTTCCTGTGTCCTGTATTTTATCTGTTTTCAGCTTAGTCTAAACCTATGTGGATCATTGTGGGTAGGCTGTTTCCTTTAACCCTCTCTTGGCACACCCTTTTCTTCAGCTAACTAGTGATCTTCAGATCTGTATCCCTTTTGCCATGATCCTCCCCTCAGTGGTTAACTTCTCCAGCTCCCCACTCTGGCATGTGCTTACTAGGCACTAGCCCAGCTGCACATCCCTCTCCCTGTCCAGCTTCAGCATTGATCTTCCCAACTTTGTATTCTTTTCCTACTAATCCCCTTAGCAGTTAGCAAGTCCTTATAAAATATACCTCAGTTTGAAGACCTCTTTAACAGAGGTCTGCAGGTTTTGTTTTCTTTGTTCCTTTTGGGTTTTGCCTTTTCTTTTTCATGATAGTAAAGTTCTGCTCTTCCCCTGAAGGGCCCTCTGACTTCCTCTCACTTCTCCCAGTGTCTGCCTTTTCTCTAGCTACACTGATGCATTACTACTATGGCTTGTACTGTTGCCCTTGGCCGATTCCCTACAAGTCCTCATTGTGTCAACCAGATCAGTTAATGAAAACGGTGCCACAGAGGTTCCTTTTATACATTCCTCCTCAGCCTTTTCCTATCTGTCACATCCAGAGCACTGTTAAATGGCCTCTTTCTTGTCTTCTGTGTAAAAAACAACCAGTTTGTCCCAGTCCGTGGTCTAGCTGTCCCCCACTCATTGTGTCTCCAATTTACCCCTAGGCTCCTAATCCTGCAGCTTTACACAGCACTCTATTAAAATTTATATTGAAGGATTTAGGCATTGAATTACAGTGTTATCAATAGATTACTCATATATATCAGTTATATAAGAGAGAAAGGGAAGGGAAGAGAGATGGGTAGATGCATGGATGCATTATGGAGGATGGAGTGAATGTTTACAGACTGAACAGGTACCTCTTGGTGCCCATACTGTCATATATTTACATTGGAGTCTCCTTTCTTCTCTTGCTTATCCCCCACAGTGCCTTCCTAATGTTTCAATGTCTAGTATTGTCTGCATGTGAACTCTTTCCAGATCCCTGACTAGCCCATAGACACCTTTCCTCCATCCATGCTGGTCAAATTGTCTCCTTCAAACTGTTTGGAAAATCCCATCTTCATCAAAATTTTACTTTCCAAAATTCTGTCAATTTTTTATTACTCATTTATTTCTGTCAGTCATCTGACACATACAGTGGCTATGTGTTTTTCCACTGTGAAACAGATGTTATCAATGGTAAAACCTCACTTTCACCTACTCACTGCACACTGAAGGTTGATTTGGAGCAGTTTGTTCTGGTGTTCTGTAGATCCACTCAGTCCATAGTCTAAAAGCATTGAGACCATGTACTTGGTCAGTGTTAATCTGATGAGCTGTCAGCTTTTGCTGTTAGTAGTGTTTGCTTTGTTGTGTATTAGAGCAGTGAGTGGTTCTAAATTTTTCAAAATAGACTGACCAGCATGACAAAAAGTCCCAACAAAATCTCTCCCCCTCCTTTTTCCACATCAACACAAAAACAGTATCCTCAAGTCATCTCTTCTGTGCACAGTTCTAGTCCACAGTACAGAAATATCTTCAAATCATGCTTTGTGAAACTGACTTTTTGATCAGCTTGCAAGCTGCTTCAAGAACTGCTACCTTAAAACAGGGTTTGCATGTGTATGTTAAGACTTGAGAATGTGGAACACAGTGGTGAGCACAGCTGGTGCTTCCTCAGTAATGACAGAAGTGTGCTTGCTCTGTGCACTCATGTGGGTGTGCCTGCTCTTCCCTCCAGTTGCAGGCACCTTTAGCTGTACCATGAAGTTCACAGTCCGGGATTGTGACCCTAACACTGGCGTTCCAGATGAAGATGGATATGAGGATGAATACGTGGTGAGTCTTCCCTGCAGAGATCTTTGCAACATTAAATGACTTCTTTTCACAAGAGCACTTTTCTATAAACAGCTGACAAAACACATGGGACCTACACTAGCCCTCTCTGTAAAGGAACTGTCATGCCAGGATTTAAATGGAACACTTTGTAACTGCAGCAAAGAAATTCAGTCCCCCCCCTTTTAATGGGAATAACTAAGAGATAATTACATCATTTTTAATGTGATTGACTTATAAGTAAAGTATAGGTTTTGGTTTGGCTTCAGCAAACTTTCATTTGGGTGGTTTTAATATTGGCAAGTCCTGAACTGAAAAGCTTTGACATAAGGTGGGGGGGGGAGGTCTCAAATTTAGAAGGTGCTCTGTGCCCTCAGTGTGGCCACATGCCTACTGTGAACTCAGGGCCATTGGCACTCAGCGTACACTTAGCTCTTGCCAGGTTGTTCTCGCTCCTCTGTACTAGGACCTATAGATAGCATCAGGCTCACACAGACCACATTAGTGAGGAAGAGCTTCCCTCCGGCCCTTTGTATGGCTAGGATACATAATAATAAATGATCAGTTTCTTCTATCTTTGTTGTAGACTCAAAGGACTTTTATTTACTGATCCCTGCTTATTGCCCACTAGCTGGAAGATCTTGAAGTAACTGTGTCTGACCATATTCAGAAGATACTAAAACCTAACTTTGCTGCTGCCTGGGAAGAAGTGGGAGATGCCTTTGAGAAAGAAGAAACCTTTGCCTTGAGCTCTACAAAAACCCTTGAAGGTAAGAGCTTTGCTGCCAGTGGGCTGCCTGGGACCAGTATAAAAACCAGGAGGCATACGTGCAATTCTGAAAGAACTCCTCTCTGCTGAGTATGTTTTAAGTCATCTGCTCAAAACCAGGTACCTGTCTTAATCATCTGACCAAATCGGCCATTTTCTAGGCTAGTAGCCTCCCTCTAGTCTACATCCTGTGCACCTGCAGCTTCTAGGATATGGTGGGGCAGAGGCAGACCCACATGTTTAACTTTTCTAATTCTTGTTACATTAAATTTCTCCACAGAAGCTGTCAACAACATCATCACATTTCTCGGTATGCAGCCATGTGAGAGATCAGAGAAAGTACCCGAGAATAAGAATTCCCATTCCCTCTATCTAGCAGGTAAGAGACTTCCATCGGGGGGGGGGGGGGAGGCACTCCGTGCCCCACTGCCTCCGTCATCTCACTAAGTAACAACTGGAAAGCCAATCAGAATGAGCAGCTGATTTTACAGGCTCTCCTTACGTCATTCTTTAGGAGGCACATCTGGCCTAAAATACTTCAGTGTGTAACAGATGCCATTGCCACTCCCACTAAGCACTGCCTGAGTGCACCAAGCCAGTGTCACTGAATACCTCCATGTACCTGGCATTTCATATCAACATTGAAAAAGTAGGATTATTTGTCGGATTAATTTCCTGTAAATGTGTATAAAAGTTGAACTAAAATAATAGAAAGGGGGTGCGGGCAATACATGATAATTCCATTAGTCAGAGCTTATTTGAGGTAATAATACTTCTTAATATACTTCTCCTCACTTCTTCTCTCAGGGATTTATAGAGGTGGCTATGACTTACTGGTGCGGTCCAGGCTGGCCCTAGCAGATGGAGTGACCATGCAGGTGACTGTGAGAAGCAAAGAGAGAACACCTGTGGATGTTATCTTGGCTTCTGTGGGATAGGTTCTTGCTGGGAAGGGTGATGTTGCTATGCCCTCCCTATTGGTGGATTTTAGGCTAGTGCCATCAACTTCCCAGAACCACACTTAAAGATTAATAATGACTTTGAAGAAGCAAATCCAAGTGTTTGGCCCTGAGCCAGCAGATCAAACAATGTCTGTCTTTGCGCATGAACTTTAGTGTTTCTTCCCTCCTCCTTTACTCCCTCAGCCTTGGTATGACAATGCAGCTTTGAGTGGGCTTGAAAACCAGATACTACTTACACTATTCTACAGCTGCTTAGCGTCATTATATGCTTCTATTTAATGTGTGAAAAACTCTTGGCAATGTTGGAAAATTTTGTCCCAGAAGGGTGGAGGGGGAGGGGAAGCCGGAATCCATTTTTGTCACAGTTTGTTTTTATTAATAGAAAATAAACACTCATTCATTCCAGTTTCAAAGTTGCTATACTTGAAATTTCTAATTTAAAAAATGAATTTAAAATAATCAATAATGCTGCTTTAACTAAGTTAAAACTGTGGCTTAAAAAAGTATTCAGCACCATTTTCTCTTAGGTCTTCCAGAATTTGTTCTTAAAGTATCTGGGAACTTGCCTGTCTAACTGAGTCTAGGAGTTATGTGAGACAGCCTTTCTGACAGCCAGTGGGATGCTAAGCAGCCATCGTGTAAGAGGAGGCGGGACATTGGGCTGTTACAGTAGTCCCCTCTCCTCCACTTGAGCCCTGGAAGAGCATGCACCTACGCTCTGAGACGCGAGAAGGCAGGCCGTTATTTACTGTTCAGCTTGGACTTTCTACACAATAACAGTAAGTCTCTGGCACAGATGCAGTTCTTAATACCTTACGGTTTTAGGAAATTCTGTAAATAATTCAATCTGTTTATTCACAAATTCTATATATAATGAGGTTTTCTTCTTAGCAAGGGCCAACTGTTTGTAAATATATACACGAGTATGCAAGTCAGTCTTAGCCGCATACTCAGAACACTATATTTATGCCAAAGTCTATGTAGGGCTGGGGGGGGGCGTTGAACGGGGTAGGAGCAGTGCTGGGGATTGAACCCAAGAGCTTTAACATGCTAGGCAGGCACACTACCACTAAGCTACTTCCCCAGCCCCCTAAGCAATGTCTGTTTTTAACAAAAACTGTCTATAATTAGAAGCAGCTGGTGAAACTAAATGTACAGGTGTGACAAGACACTCCCTCTCATAAGCTGTTCACAGATCGTGAAAGGGAGACAGCAAGTTCCTCCCTCACTCTGTAGTCCAGTGTTCCAGTTAGGAGAGGGCCAGAAGTTAGCATTTCTAAATATTTTAATAAAGTCCACAGAAACTGGGTTTTTGTTGTTATTATGGTTTTGGGTTTTTTTTGGGGGGGGGAGCATTTAACACAAAAAAAGAATATCTAATGCTGTCTTTCTACACAAAACAACAGCAGAAGTATTTACATGGTCAGATGTCACAGGAATGAGAGGATTATCATGTCACCCTTAGAGATGAGGTGGACTACCATGGCATCCTTAGAGTTCCAGCTGCCTATTTTCTGTAGTTTGTTCACCAATGTGAATAAAATGGACTTTTATGAAAGGATGGTATTTGATGGCCAGGACCTCTTTTGGGCATTTCTAAGTGGAATACACACAGATACGAGAATGGGGGAGGTAATACAGGGAGGCTACTCTTTCCAGCTCAGAAGGAGTTGATGAAGCCCATATATGCATTCAAGAAGCCCATGGGATCCTCTAGCTGTGGATAGTGGCTAATGTGGTCATCCAGAATCGACACTGTGGACCGCGGCAGCGTTTTCCTAGTGGAAGAGAACAGCATGGAGGTGAACTTAAGGCTGGAGGATGAGAGGATGTAAGGCATGGGAAGCCCCGCAAACGCCCTATAGACACACCACACTGGAAGGAACCAACAGAGTTACTCATCTCCTACTTGGAAACTATACCTGAGGCAGATAAACTTGCCAGTTCCACTCACAGTGGTTTCAACTGTTCAGAACCCAACAGACAACATCTTGGAAATACAACACTTCTGTAACAATCCTCATACCATGACTTTCAGCTCCTTAGAGAAGCATCAACAGGTGGCTCATTCAGCAACTCACTGCCCACGCAAAGATAAACAAAGAACCTTCCTTAATCTCATGAGGAGATTGTTTAAAATTATAAGCAAGCTGGGTTTTGCCAGGTTGTATCCACTAGGACATAGGAAGGTATGACAGACAAGCACCTTCTAAGTAAGTACCCTAAAGGAGTAACAACCAATGAAGAGGCATTTCTCATGGTGAGCTGTTGCTAAGTGCTCAGTTGAGATGAGTGAACTGGCTCAGAATAACACATGAAATGATGGCAGCCATGATGGTGAGAACAGGATGTATGAATCCAGAAAAAGTATAACAAATCTCTTGGTCTGTCCTCTCAGTAAGAATACGATTCCCTGTCCCTAACTGCTCTGCTTATTTTGTTTCCAATGAGGTCAGATGCAATACCTAGTGCCAACAACCCTGTCAGGAAGAAATACTGACAAAAGAAAGACCTCCAAGAACTCACCTGTACAGCTCCAAAAACTCTGGATACGGATTTATAGGATCCAATGGCCCATAGATAAAATGAACTAGGAAAAAGAAGAGGAAGGAGTTTCTAGCAGCTCACATCTGTGTTCCTGCTGCTACCCTAAAATTAACCTCCATTCGTTAATTTATAAAATATGTCACTAAAAATTGTATGATAGAAATCCTCACTTCTTGTTAGATGAGCTTAAAGAACTTCTAGAAGTCAATCTTCTACATGGGACTATCTGGTCTCTTCTGTGCCCTGAGCCAAAGGGAGAAACTCACTTTCAAGATCTGCTTTCTAGAAATGTTGATAGAACCATCACTCACTGAAGTTTCCTTGATTGTAACTGACCTCTGACCTCTGAAGTCCACCAACAGTTTGTTGATTAGTAACTAGTATGTGGGAGGCACTGTGCTGTTAGTTTCCTTTTTAAATGTGGACACAGAGAGGGCACAGCAGTGGTGCCTACAGCTTCAGTTAATAAATGACCTTACTAGCCTCCTGTCCCAACAGTTTGATATTTACGGTGGCAGGCATCTGCCATACTGCCATGCCAGCTGTATCTGTGGTAGTCCTCTACCTTACACCCTCACTCTGGTAAGCCAGCTGTTTGGAAATAGGGGTGCCAGTGAATAGAGTGGCCAGCTAAATGTGTTTTGGGGTTCTGTTTTTAAGTGGGAGGGACAAAGGTAAAAAGTATGTCCTAAATATCATATAGCATATACTGAGGCCAAATGGAGCTGTTTTTAAATGGAAGACTCAGATTGACTTGAGTGCATGTTTTTATTTGCATGGGAGATTCTATGAGTTGTAATTATGTTAAGTCACTGTTTCCCAAATGTTCCTGTCAAGAAGTAACAAACAACTACACACAAATACTCACTGGGGATGGACACAGACGCAAGTGCTCCCACCCAGCGCCTTCTAAACTTCTTCCTCTGATTGATGTACTGTAAAAGACTACAACACGGGCGAGTCAGCAAGAGCAGAGCAAGACCTAGTAGACGTAGTGTCAGTACAATGTACAGAAGCAGCCTCGGGGCCAGGAGTAGCTGACTCGTCCATCCATGTTAGCATGTGAACACAACACCAACTACCAACATAAGCACATGGTTCTTTGCAGTCATTACACGGGGAATGCGCTCTTTAGAAGGAGTAATTAAAATTGGTTAATTTAAAATCGGAGTCTAAGAATCCAGTTTTGCTTTCACTACTAACCAGCTCTGTGACTCTCAAACACATTTCTCTGTTGCTACTGAAAAAAAAAAAAAAAAAAAAAAACAGGCAAAAGGAGCTTTGTACTTAAGAGAGACACATTCATGCCTTTCAAAACTATGACTAAAACATTCTGTAACATTTAATGTTAACCAAAACCCTAAAGAAGGATATACCAAAGTCAATGCGTCATTTTCACGCAGATAAGCATTAAGAGTTGCAGCTATTTAGCCAAACGCTTAGGAGCAAGGCTCACCTATGCTTGATTTTTTTTCTGGAAAAAAACCAGAGCAGGACTGCTTAAGGTTTGCCTCATGATCCCTAACCAGCATTCCTGAGAGTAAGCCAGCAAGGGGCAGAACAAATATCTTACATCTGCCCCTCCCTCCAAGAGAGGCCTGTCTTACCTGTCGATGACCAGGTTCCCGTCGTTGTTGCGAATCACAGCCCACATGTCCCACAGCTCACTCTCAGTGGGCCGAGTATATGGTCCGAAGACTGGAGTGAGACTGAAAAGAGTAGAAACACAGGAAGGTGAGACTGTATAGACTGAGTTCAGAGTGCCAGACGTTTACAAAATCTCCAAGCCCAGGCTAGCTGTGGTCCAGGGCTTGAATAGCAACACATTTCATTACACTGTTGTCAGTGCATAGTCACTCTTTGACTTACCCTCGAGAGAACACAAAGAAGTTCATGAGCCTGGTGAGGATGGGTGAAAGCACACCTCCATCTTTGAGGAGCTACAGGTAAGAAAGGAAAGTAAAAAATCAAGGATCCAGAGGGAGCTGACAACCCCAAGACAAAATCTTTTCCATCAAAAACTAAAATAGAACTTAGGCACATCTTCTGAAATAAATGTATAATCCCTTATAATTGATGAAATCATCTTATTTAGGATCTCAACTTATTTAAATATCATACTTAAGACACAGATCTTCATATAGTTGTATTATATTTGCTCATCTCTTATTTCTCAGAAATGTTTGGTTTTATGTAGGAGAGCCTGCTTTATTTGACTGAGAAAAAAATTAACTTGATTTACATGAATTCATAATGAAGATTTCAATAGACTGGCTCATCACCACAGGTATGGTCCTTAAAAGGTGCCAGTGTTTTTGGTTTTAGTTTTTTTAATGTCACAGATGTCTAAGGGAGCTATGCAGTGAAGCTGCCAACCTTTTGGAGAAGGAGAGGGCGGTGGGTCTCAGGAAAGATACCTGTGGAAAGAGAGGCTTCTTAGTCCTTTATCAACAATGTAAGGTAATAGCACAGCCATTACAAGAAACTATCTACCCATTCACTGTTACATTCAAAGCTTTTTCTGCTAAAACAGAATTGTGAATAAAAACAGCTCTGCACACCACAACAGCTTGTACTTAACACGGAACTGCACGCGCATGTACCAGGCTACGGCACGACTATACTGCTAATGACTACAAGATGCTCTGCTTAATAGACAGATTGCAGCACGCTGGGATTGCTTTCCTCATTTTAAGGTACAGAAATGGAGAGAGTAATTTATATGCTCCTCCATAACGTGCTGACGCCTCGGCTTACGCTCCCTTCAGCACCTCCCCCAGGCCCCTACGCCCGGAACACAGTAGTAGTCATGAACTCATCTGCAAACACTTGTATGTTTCAGTAGGTAGGTTCTTGTAAAAGAAAA